ACCCCCCCATCCCCAAAAATTTCTCTGCGGATTTGGGCTGTACTCAGCAAGTGCAGCACAGCTTCCAACTCAGATCTGAAAAAAAATTACTGGATGGTTGTTTTCTGACTGGTCGGCAGACCGCCGACCGGTCGGCCCTACTGGTTGGCAGGGATGCAACCATGCTCCCATGGCACTTTAGACGCAGGTGGCAACTTCTGAGAAATTCCTTCTTCAGGTAAGAACTCTTTTTGACTTCACCCAGACAAGGTCTCCAACAGCAAATCTACACGATCTTCGGTGTTTGATCGCTTGCTCTACCATCTGATGCCAAGTCTTTCTGATCTTGTCTGCAACTCTCTGCAGATCTTTCTCATTTTGCAACGTGAATTCCCTAGTGCCCGGTGGCAACCTTTGGATCTGGTCAGGGTGCAGACAATCGATTCGCCGTCGTGGGCGCTATCCTCTGTGCAGCTCATTTTGGGTGCGCTAAGTGGCGAAATGCACGGAATTGTTATATGCGCTGGCTACATCTCCATCTATCTGATATGGCCTTATGTACATGCGAAGGACTTGTTGCAACAGTTTGTTCATTTGTTTTGTCTATCCATTCATCTCCAAATGTCTACCGGATGATATGGTTAACTTCGACTCGTACCCCTTCATCAACTGTTGTCACTGTTCACCAATTAATCTTACATAGTTAAACCACCAGTCCTTGGCCCAGCTATCGAAGCCGAGCCTCCCAGGCCCCTGCGCGCCAAGTCCTGCCGAACCGCCGTCGGTATTTTTCGTTCTCATTTTGGCTGTGGCCTCCAGCCAATGCGGCCTAGGCAACATGCATATGTTCTGGACTGTGGCCCCCAGCAAGCCTCGTGGCCGCCCTAAGTGAAGGCGGGCCTGAATATCCATGAGAGGCCCTTATCTCAGCATTTTCCAATATGGGTCTCAGACAGTTGCTGCACGCCTGTTGGTTGAAGTGCAACCTGGGCCTCACCCTGGGCTCTTCCAGAAGAAGCAGCTGCATTAGGAAGTTGAGCCCAGGACGCAGGTGGTTGCGCCCTGGGCACACACAGTGTGAGGCCGACACATCACGAAGTGGACACTGGCCAATGAGAATGCAGCATTGTCGTAACATCCACCCCGCAGACCAATGCAAACACAACAAACATTCGGAGCCTGGAAAATCCTGGGTGTGCCCAACTGAAAAGGGCCCAGGCCCTCAACTGTAGACATGGGCCTGGGAACGGACACTGGGGCCTGGCCGGAAGCTACTGGAAACTTTCACGGCCAGGCCCAGACAGTCCAGCAGCAGCAACCTCTCCCATATAGGGACGAGGCCAGCCAGTCCAGGGCATTCTGGCCTAGGCAGGGAATGCAGACACGCTGCTGCGATATATGTCTGCATGCGCCGGGGCGCTCGTGGCGCTGAGTGGTGTGGGGTGCTGCAGGGCAGCGGGGCGCTAAGCGGGCATAGCCGGGCCGCAGAGGTACGGGCAGGTGGAGGCGCAGGCGTGGGTGGATAAGGGTTGATGAGGGGAGTTGAGAGTATGTACCTGGTGTATATGGGAGATCGGCATTGGTGTTGACATCATGTACATTGGTCTTCAAAGTTGAAGTGAGCCTGTTGCACAAATGTAGATAGGCTAGGTAGGATGAGTAGAGTAGGCTGGGCGCTGGGCGGCAGACAGTAGGAGCAACATTGAATACTGCAGTGGTGTGGGCTCAGGGCTTGGATATTGGCTCACAAGTTCATTGTTTCGCTCTTATTTGGATGGAATCTTGCTGCATTTGAGCTCTCCGCTTGTTACATGTCTATCTGGACTCAGCCTCGGAATTTGCAGACCTTTCCCCCTGTCCACAGTTGTTTGGAGGACCGTGCTTGGAAAGGAAGAGGGTGACTGGGTTGCCCTATGATTTGCTAAACCTTTAGGTACTTCTTACGGCTCCATCAGGGCTGCAGAGGTGGGTCTTCAGTTAGGGTGTCGTTTGATACCACTACACTACGCTTGCACTACACTTAACACTTTCCTTGATCACATTCCAGACATGATAGAGATTCCCACGCTTTCCAAATAGCTACCACTACACTACGCTTGCACTACACTTAACACTTTCCTTGATCACATTCCAGACATGATAAGAGATTCCCACGCTTTCCAAATAGCGCCAAAAAAGTGTAGCGCAGGTGTAGTGCAGCCCAGGCAAATGGAACGTCAAGTCACCTCCCGCAGGTGACTTCAGTTCTCCTAGAAACGGCACAAACACCTTGTTGCAGGTTGGTCTCATGCCCCCCCGTCAATTTTTGTTTTATTTACTGTTTTCACTGACATTGGTCCTGAGGCAAATTTCAAAAAAACATTTCCCGCTCCGTTTTTGTAGGGTGAACTGTAGGCTAGGTGGGACGACATAGTAGTATTTTTCAATTACGACCGCAGGCTGCTCAACAATGAGCGCTGCACCACCCAGGGGTAACCCTGGAGAGCGGATGGACATTGAGATGCTTTTAAACGTGCCATCCGCAACTTGTCAGTGTTCTGAAGCTTTGTCGCCAATCATAGGCACATGACGAATCATCCACCCTCGCTGCCTTACCCCCTTAACTGCAATCCTTGTGCATTTCAACTTTCAGACCGGATTGAGCAAGTCTGCCACAGCGCACAGACCCTGCCAGGCAAAACAAACAAAACAAAGCACTTTTCTATCCGTGATTTCCCAGGCGGCTAGCTGGGCCACATGCCCCCGATTTCCAGCCACCTAGCCAGGCATTTCCCAATCCTTCGAGTTTCAGTTCCTGAGCAGAAGACTAGCATCCGCGTAGTAAAACACCTGCCCACTGGCTTGATGCTGCCTCAACTTCCCAAGAAACTGGTCCACATTCCTGGTGCAAAAGTGGGAGACCACCTACTACACAATGCTTTCTCTCAGCTCACTCAAATACTTCACAATGAGAGTATAGTTCAAAGCATATCTAACTGGGGAACGATATGTGCCATACACACCCAACCTGTGGGCTGCACATGGTTCACAACTTCACACACACCGAACGGCAAACACTCAGAACTGTCAACAACAAAAAGCATATTCATCTGGGCCACAAAATGCATGTGTTGCACCATGCACATGCCACCTGCGCGCTGCACATGGTTCACACACACCAAAAAGGATTCGAAAACAAGGTGATGTTAAACGTTATTTTGATTAGCTTTTTGCTCAAGACTCAAATCCCATTTGTTTTATTCATGTAAGTCAAAAAACGACTTTCATAATTTTTTAGCATACTTGTGGCGCATCGACGTGCGCTGCACCGTGCACACGCGCCACACTGCGCACAGCGCACGACGCGCGCGCACGGGGTGCGGCGCACCCCGAAAATAAGGGGTCAAGGGAAGAAAAAAAAAGTTGATGGGTGTTTTAGACCCGAGTGGGATGTCGTGTCATAAATCACAAAAATATATTAACAAAAACTTGAGGCCGCGCGAAAAAAAAAAGGGGGGGAAGTTCGTTTTTTGGTGTTTTTTTTTTTTTTTTTTTTTTTTTT